GTCGATATTGCTTCTACATGTTTAATATTGCAATTCGATATGCAATATTCGAACCAGTGATATTTGGGCTGCAATTTTAGGGTTATTGTATATTTATAAAATAGATAGAAATTTAAATTAAGTATTAAACTACAACTAAAATAATCAAAGTATTAAAACACCAAATAAGTACTTACGGGAGATTCAGTGGCCAACTAATCGTTAAAAAAGTCATATGATTTCCATAATTTAGGTTCGTGTATGTTTGAATTTAAATAGATACAATAAATATACTTAGTGTGATTGGTTATGATCCTTGCTTGCTTTTAAAGAGACCAAGGTTCAAATCCCAGTGCATGCTTTTTTATGAATAAATAAATAAGAAAATAAGCAATTGTGAAGACCAAAATGTCCTTCCTATAATCACTCTCGTTGCAGGAAATTTGAAATGGAGCAACAGTTTTCATCATTCGGCTTTTATTTATTATCTAGATGTTTTGTTCTACCAAAAAAATAAAAATAAAAATATATGTCTTTTTTTGTTCGTTATTCCTCGGTTTGAGTCATTTTTAATAAAATTTAAGGTTAATTTTTTCATATCCTTCGAAATTTACCCTTTTTTAACATACTGATCAATCTTTTTGCTAATTAATATCGTGGCCAAAATTATTACAAAAAAGTACTTATTTGGCCAAAGCCGAGTGTTGACTAACAATCAACGCACCATGCCACTCTCAAATCATCATACAAAATATTAAAAAATAAAATTTGACTATTTTTTACCTAGGTGTACCACTCTATATCAGCTTCGTTTTTTACTAAAATTTTGAAAACTTTTGCACAAAAGGAACGAGATCATAGTGATTAATAAAATTAGATGTATTTCTGGAAAAATTAAGGACCAAATATACCATCATATATCGTGGTGGTGAAAGGCGGTAGATGATGGTTAATATATTTCTATTATATATATCCTCGTTCGTTGACACTCATTTAGTGTCACATTAGTAAAATCTCACTGATTAATATTAATCATTTTATAATAAAATGAGGTAAATACAATGTAATAGCCAAATTTTTCCGTTTAAACAAAATAATAGCCAAATATTTCAAAAAAACAATATAATAGCCAAATCATCAACTTTCTGTCCGGTCAAACGTCAGTGGACTCTGAGCTGGAAAACTATGATGGCATGGAAGCTGACATGGAATCATGGGTGATTCATTTTGAGATGTCAGAAAAATATAGAATCAAAATAATTTAATAGCAAAACCTTTTATCTTGTACAAAAATCAGGCATAACAAAGAGGCCAACATTAGCACAAATCTTTATCTGCGAGGTGGTGTAGTGAAAATGATCATTACAGATGAGATTGTGGGATCATAGGCGACTAAATTTGCAAATGTCAACTATGTTTGTTTATGTAGAATAAGGGATAAAATCATATGGTGCCCTAGGGTCGTATTCCTCGAGTATTGATACTACTCGAAGAACAAGGAAGTTGGGATATCATATGATTAATTGTGGACTTCTACGAACTATAATCATAGTCTATAGCATCGATGATCTAACAATTAAGTATTTGATACTACTCGAAGCATAGATGGTTGATTATTCCCTCTATACTCGTGTAGCATCAACGAGGTATCACTAGAAAGCAATTTCGACTAGGCTCATAGAAGAGACATAAGGTCCACCATTGATGATGACAACATCTCCTTAACTGTAGACTCTCCCAAGGCTATCACTCATGCAGAGTATGCAAAGAATTTGTGTGTTTGTGCATCCTTACCAAGTAAATGGGTTATGCCCACTATTTCTAGGAAAAAATCCCTGCCTAAAATGCCCTAAACCGACTAGGAAGGAGTCTCATAAACTTTGTGGGAAAATAAACTTCTTCAACCATGATTAGGGTTTGACGGCGGTTGTGACCGTCGCTCTTTTTCTCATGGTCTGGGTTCCTCTGACCTTGTATGACTCCTCCTTGCAATTTGGGCGCGGCTTGACGTATCCTTGGTAACGACGGTTGGGTCAGTTGTTGGGCCGTGACTCGTTCTTTCTTCAGCTTGGGCCTAGTCTTCTCATATGAGCTTATCTTGGGCTTCTTAAGCGACTTCTAGTTGACTCCTCCATGTTAGAGATAGATTAAGAATAATCTTATATTTCCTTGTCCTTCTAGTTTAGTTTTTAGTATATTTGTGTCTTTCTAGTATTGGAATTATTGTCGTTCTCTTACTTATTTTCCAAGTCTTCTAATTTATGTAAACCCTTTTGTGGTTTCATAATAATACATGTTACAAGTTACTATTCTTAAAACTGCTATATGGTATCAGAGCCTTTGCTTAACAGTCTATCGATCCAGAAATCCTAAAAGCTTCGTTTTTCTTTCGCCGACGGAATGAGCCCTCAGTCACCCGGTCTCCTTGTGCTTTCCGCTGATTGATCGATTTCACTTTGTTTATTTTACATTCCCGTAGCCTTAAGCTTTATTTTTTTTCTTTCTTTCTCATAATAATGATCCTAATCACCATCCCTATCTCTCGTCCCAGCAGTGCCATAAGCATGCCATTGTCTTAGTGTCTAACACTTTTCCCCCCAAATCATTCCTTCTTTACATATGATTTTTGTTGTCGGAATCTCAGCGAATATTTGATGCTTCGTTGCTCGACCACTACCGCCTGCCTTCGGATGAAAGAACCGACTTCTACAGTCGGTCGATTATTTTTTTTTCTTTTCTGTTAATTTCAGCTCTTTCATGATAACGAGCTTTTAAGGTGGAGCCACGGTCAACCTCCAATCATCTCTTCTTCACATGTATGGAACAAAGAATGCTTCTCCGACAATGACCATTTGGATGAATTTTTAGTGTTCTACACCAGTTTGCGTTTATTGGTATTGTTAAAAAACTAATTAATTCATCTCGATTCTGGTCAACTTTTGAAGACGAGTGGGTTTCATTGCAACATATGAATTGCAAGTTTGATGAATTTCTAGTGTTCTACACCATCACATTGCAGGGGGCGTGTTCTTCAAGATTGACGTATGTTAGTCAAGATTGATGTTGCTCTTTACACTATTATCTTGCGGTGACGTGCTAGAGATAGATTAGGAATAATCTTATATATCCTTGCCTTCTAGTATAGTTCTTGAAGAACATATTCATTGAAGCGGAGAGTGGGGGAGCAGTTAATTGATCGTTTGTTGGATTTTAATTCAATTTTTAATTTTGTCATATTTTGTGTATTTACCCTATTATTATTGTAACAACACTAGAAATGTTATTGTAGTACCCGTAGTCGACTAAAAACCAACAAATGATCTTATGGAATGAACATAAATCAAAGCAAAAATATAGAAATAAACAAAAACCTCACAAAAAGAACCCAAATGAAGATAATTTTCGTTTGCCCATGGTTCAATGCCATATTTGTTACTTTAATGGGGTTTCTTGATTTTTTTTTCAAATTTTTGACGGACAATTACCTCGTCTGAGTCGCTACTCATGATTCGAACGTATTCCTAATAATCACGGCTCCAAAATGTCCACGATGAAGTTGAGAGTGAGGGAGGATAAGTGTTTTCCCCTTTTCTTTAGTCAAAACAGTGTTATTTTTTCTTTCTCTCTCTAAACTTGTAGAAGAACCCTTAACTCTCTCTATCTAGAACTCTCTCCTTCAATTTCAGCTCACTCTCCTTTATATTAGCCTGCAAGTGCTCATATCACGGTCTCACTTTACGTCCGTGAAGTACGCAATGAAATCGTGAACTCAGCAGAATGTGTTGTTTCATTAACATACTTCACAGTTTGGTTGCTGACTTCGTGGTTGAGAGATCGTGAGAACTACAACGCCCACGACCTGTATGAAGGCTCATGCATGATTGCAAACTTCACAGGTTGGCTGCTCACATCATGGTTGACAGACCGTGACCCTCACAGTGCCCACGAGCTGCACAAACTCTCTCGGAAGTGTATAGTTTTCACGGTTTGGGTGTTGATGTCAATGTTGCTGCCCGTGATATAATCCCCACCTGGTCCTGATCCTTGTACTTTTGTCCATTTTGTTCCCTTTTCACCCTCTTTTGTCCGACTTTCGATCCGGTGCCAATTCTACCTGTCGAGATCTGAAACATGCCAAAACAAGACCAAAGCTAACACAACATAGCTCCAAGGACGGTGCAAACCAAGTCAAACGACGCAAGTCAAGGGGTGTAAAACTGTGTAATCTATCTCGAATCAACTAGTAATTAGCATCTTGCTAAGAAATGAAGAAATACTCGATACCATTTTTTTTGAATTGGGAGACGGGTACCACTGAGAAACAAATAAGCCTTAGCATATTATTGATGCCGATTTTATGTTCCCCGTAAAAAAATCCATCCAGCTGCCTAATGGAATTAGTAACAAATTATTTTTTATCCTAAAAAATTAATAAAATTATATTTAAATAGAGTAATGGCACCCACACCTCTAGGGCCATCACCGTCTCGAACAATTTTAACTCTCAATACCGTTCTTGCTTCTAATTGGATTTACCCTAGCTCTAATTTGCAAGATGTGGTTCATGAAAATTGGATTCCTTGAATTAAATTTCAGCATCAGAACATAATGTCTCTATCTATTTTTCAGATTTCTCTATTAGTGATGATGGACGACTGAGGCGGTGATCGAAGAAGTTTTTTTTTATTACCCAGAAATCTCAGCAAACCTACTTAAACTCGGAGGTAATGAAATGGAGAAGGTTGGAGATGGCATAGCGGAGGAAGAAGAAATCAAATGGTTGTTGGAGAGAAACAACAATTTTTATTTATTTATTTATTTTTATCTATTGTAATCTAATTTTGATTAGCTTTTATAAGGAATTTTTTAATATTATTTCCATTAGGTGGTTGGATAGAACTGAACGAAATTTTTAACGGAGCCAATAAAATCGACATCAGTGGTATCTAATTGTGTTTCACCCTGGCCAGCTAGAATTTGTGCATCTCTTTGTTTCTCGCGAGAGGTCTAACGGGAAAATAGTGGTGTCCGAATTGCTAGAAAAGGGGGTACGGACAACAAGCAAAAACGAAAACTTCGAATTCGAGAAAAAAAAATTCCCCCCCGAAACGGATTGAATCATGCTGACCAACTGCTTCTCCAATGGCGGCGTCCATTTCCATCTCCCTCCAGTCGCTTCAACTGAAAAGGAAGAGCTCGACATTGAAATCATCGATGAAAGCAGAAGCATGAATGGGGCAGTAGCAAGCAGCAGCAGCACCAATCACGTCAATGAAATTAATGGAAGAGGAGAGGAAGAGAAGCATTGCAGTAGCGAAATCGAAGCCGGAGTTAGATCTGCAGGAGAAAATGACGAAGAAGAAGAGAAGGAAAGGCTGCGCGAGCTGGGCAATCTGATAGGATTAGAAAATCTGAAAGCTTTACTGGGTGCGGAAGGTGGGCGCCGCGATGTTGATGCTCATCAGGGTCCTGGTAGGTGGAGGAGGAGGAGAAGGAGAAGAAGCAGCAGACAGAAGAAGGTTTTAGCTTCTGGTGATCAGATTCGAGTTCAGCAGCCGCCTGACTTGCCCCTCGTATGTGCCCATTTCTAGATTTGCTTTGCTTCTTATTACTCAACTCTCCATTTCCCTGATCAACCATGTTTTAGTAGCTCCTTGGTTGAAATACCCATGAGCAGAAGTTTTGAGCTTGCATTCCTTGGTGAATGTGGAAGAATTGGGCTTTTATAGATTGAATGTTTTGCTAGAATCAGCTTGGAAGATGTTCCTCGGTTCATATCCAGATAGCATGCTCCTGAATTGTCGATGCTACAGATGAAGCGATGATTTTGTTGACCCTTTTGACATTTCTGAGAATCTCTGTACTTGGTTTGATGCAATAACTTGAGAGAGAGATATGAGTCTTCCAACATTTTGATATCTCTATAGGGAAAGTGGCTCATTCTTCACAGATGATCATTTCAGAATCTATTAGTTCTGAATTAATAAGCAACAAGAGAAGAGGGAAGTGGGGTTCTCTTCAATCCAATGCATTCACTATGCAGGAGTTATTAACTTGTGTAGTAGTCTTGTTTTGTATACCAATCATTGCCGTAACACTGTTCAACTAATTGTCAAAAGTACCAGCCTTTCCGTTGCCATTGTTGTAATCGACACAGTTAACTGTATCTTTGAGATGCTGCATTCCTCTATGGCCACATTTTTCATTGTTTTGTTACTCGCTGACAATTTACTGATGTCAACCTATATTTGTCTCAGGATAGAGCAGAAGTAGAAAAAAGGCTGGAAAAATCGTCTAATAGAGTAGAAACATCTGCCGAGGACAACCTGGTGCCGCGAAAGCTATCTCAGTATACAGCAGAAGTAGAAAAAAAGCTGGAAACATCGTCTAATAGAGTAAAAACATCTGCCGAGGACAACCTGGTGCTTCGAAAGCTATCTCAGGATACAGCAGAAGTAGAAAAAAAGCTGGAAAAAACGTCTAATAGAGTAAAAACATATGGCGAGGACAACCTGGTGCTGCGAAAGCTACTTGTGAGTTCTGTTTTCATCCATTACTGGGGTAATGCCGATTGAAGTGTTTTATGCATACATGAATGGCGATGAAACACATCAACTCATGCAACTGCATTGTCATTTTTAGCGGAGACCAAGATACTTTGATCCTCCAACGGACGGATTGCTGGAAATACTATGCCCCCATTGTGGTCAAGAAGGCCACATAGCTAAGCGCTGTGCTTTGCAGCAGGAGAAAAAACCGTGCTTCCTCTGTGGCAGTTTTGATCATGCATGGAAACATTGTGGCCAGGTCTCTAAACATGCAACAAGTATCCACTTAGTCACTTACTGAAAACCCCTATGTGTCTCTTAAGCAGCTTCATCATTCCTTGCTCATGATTGACAGAGCCGCCATGTAGAAGAAGGCTGCCACTTGGAGGAGGAGGGAGATGATTTGAACTCCGAGATTTGCTTGAGGTGCAGGGAGTCGGGGCACGATATGCTGTCATGTAAGAGCGATTATTCACCTGATGATCTCAAGGTCAACATAGCAAAATTGATTGTGCGCATGGTCTCGAGTTTAATTAAGTCAAGCTTTTATCATGGGTTTTTAGCAGCTGCTAATTTGATGAGCAGGAAATGGAATGTTACTTGTGCAAGAAGGTTGGTCACCTGTGCTGTAGTGAGCTTCGAGTTGCCGGTCCACTCGAGGTTTCATGTTACCGGTGTGGTGGGTCTGGGCACTTGGGTTCTGTAAGCCATACACAAGAACTTCCTCCTTTTCCTCGCCCTATATTGATCGTTGTTGTTGCCTGCAATCTTAGACATTATTTCTATCATTGCTAGGGATGCACAGAGGAAACAGTGGCCAGGCATCAGAAGAAGCCTCGTTTCCGTGCTAGATATCGTAAGAGGACCAAGTTTCACGAAGCCGTATGATTGCTCTGGTTTTGGTCAAGATTTGGTAGGATCCCATTCAGAAGCAGAAGGTTTTGGGTCATGAATTAATTGGATGACGATTTACCCGAGTTCTAGTTAAATGTTATTTTTCTTTGTGCAGGGTTTACTGGAGAGAGGCGTTTTCAGTTTTGGGTACTACAAGAATCAAGATCCATTGCCAAGGCTGGTGGACAGAGAAGTCTGCCAATGAGAACAGAGTGATGATAACACTATTCTGGCCTTTGGTTTAAAGCACGAAAAAATGCAGAAGGGGCATCTTTCTTGTTCTAACTACATGCTTATATATATATGAGCTTTTTGGTTTTCCTTTTAACAACGATGGACTCACTGGTGTCCGAATTTGCGACTTGCAGTTCCTTTAACTTGCTTTACAAGACAGATTCTATGTTTCTTTGCACCCTTCTTTCGACAAAACACAGTTATTACACTTCCTCGAATTTTTCTAATTGTTCAACTGTAGTTCCTTTTGACTGTACGAAATCTATCTTCTTCGCATTTCGTGCAGTAGTATGCAAACAAAGTTAAAGAAGAAGAAATCCTGATTGATAAATCTCTGCACTAGTTTTAGTTTAGATCACGGGCTGGACTCGCAGATCATCCCTGCATATCAGACAACGACATGTCAGTTGGAAAACAGTAAACTTGTCCTTGCGTTTATAGGAGGAGAAAATGAATATACACCTGCTGGCTCATGAGAATTTCAACTGCTACATTGATATCCATGTCAGCAGCCGCCAGGGCAACCTCAACCTGCGTCTGCGAATGATTCCATAACAGATGATTTTGTTTAGTCTGATGCAGCACAAAAAGAAAATATTCCACAAACTTTCCAAACCCAAATCGTATTAAAATTAGAATTCAGTTTACAGCTCTTTCATGGAGCACAAGTTCAGAACATCTCAATCAAAACATAGACGAATAGAAGATGTTGGACGGAATAGAGTACCACTCCAGAAGCTCTTTTACCTTTTCGAAACCCATGGATACCAGCTTTTGAATTTGCTCATCAGGAAGAGCTGTACTCTGCATCCAGGAAATCGAGTGTCTAATTTAAAAGCCGTGTTAAATCGATAAGGTATAAAGCAACTCCTGTATTTCAGTTAATTTTAAAAGGACCTGGTGAAGAGCAGGATTCTCGAGAGGAGCTACAACTGCATTATCTAGTCCTGGCCTCCTGAAAACAATGAACAAGGAGACAATACTTAAAGATGGCAGCATTGTGATTACTCGGGATTAATGCTTCACACATTAGTTATACCAAGGAACAGAACAATCAACATACTCAACACCTGGATCCAACAAATTGTCGCCATAACATGACAGAGAAACTATACTCAGTTTACTACAATCCTAATGATCAGATACCGATTCTAAGTATACCATACTCAATGTATCCCAATTCGGTGAGAAAAGACTACTTATTAGTATTTTTCTTGAAGAACATACTTGAATCCTGGCGGTGAGAGAAGAGAAATTATACTCAGTTTACTACAATCCTAACCATCACTTTTGTCATATATAATAACCAAGAGATATGCATAAGTTTAAGTAATATAAAAAGAAAATAGCATACACAGCTGATAGCCCAGAAACTAATCTCAAGATCTGCCTATGAGAGATGCGAGGGAGCTTTCCAGATAAGTGATACCTTCCATCTAAAACTTGCTGTCTTGCGACATTTTCAGTTGGAGAAAGATGGTCATTTTCATCCAGTAGTCGAGCCTGCAGGTTGGCATCTGAGTCACCAGACAGAGTAGTTTGACTTTGACCAGATGCAAGAGTTCTGGCCCTTCCAGGAAACCTACTGTCTTGCTGCGGCATCGACTACAGATACATGTGTATCATAGTTATAAGAAAAAGTTACACAATACAAGGGACACTGTGATTATAAAACAATTTTAAGGTCAGAACTTACATCTGACATAAAAAGGATAACTGAAATTAAACAACGTTGTACCTGAGGAGCCGTTTCTCGCTGTGGCATCCACGAGGACAGGTTTCTCCACATATTTCCAGACAAAATTCCACTGATCATTGAATTTCAACAAGTCAATGTCTCCTCGTGAAGAATAGAGAGTATGGAGGTTAACTGGTAAGGAGAGACTACCTGGAGGTTGTAGTCTGGCCAGAATATGTTGGAATATATCCAGTAGGATTTCCTCCAGTACACAGAATGAACTTCGGCCGCCTCACACAAGAAGACTGAGAACCACATTGAATAAATGGGATAGGCAGTCAGTTATTTTTCGCAAATGCGCCAGTGATAAGTAAACCAAATAGAGTTTCCAAAATAGCGTGGTTTGTTTGGGGTGCAAGAAAAAGGAAATCCAGGTCAATCTCTTCAAAAATTTATTTTAAACTCATGCTGATATCACTTGCGTTTAAAGGAGATAGAGTAGTGCAAAACCCCAAAGCGAGTGTTGCACAGTATATGTGGGAACCAGAGGGAGATTCAATGTTGTTGAAAAAGAGGCAAAAAATCTGCTTAAAGAACTACATAAAACTGATCATGAAGAGATCATTTTGATCTTCAAGTACGGAAAAAGGAAAGTAAATAAGAAAACGGGGGAAAAATAGAATTATGAATTGCCTAGCATAAAGATATAAATTCAAGATAAATGATTCACTAAAAGCATGTGCTTTGTTGTCAGAAATCTCCTTTTTAGTTAAAAAAAGCACTAAAGTGAAGGATAACTGCAAAAGAAATTCCATAGAGTTATGCTACAGTACTTACAAGCCAAGGGTAAGCCTCAATTGCAGAGTAGAAGGATGTTCCGGGTATAAGCAAGTTGAAAAACCCATAGGTATCTGGAATGCAGAAAGAGACATTCTTTCAAAGTTTATACTTCAGCTGTGTAGTAACAAAACACATTGAATAAGGGGGGAACTGGAAAACATGGAAATCTGCCAACAGAAGGAGGGGTTAATACATGCAAATCCAGACAAAATGCCACACAGGTGTCCGAGTAACGAGACATTTGACATGAGAAACTGGAAGACTACCAATAGGATAAAGGCATACCTGCAACACAATGTTTAATCAAGATCATCAAGCAAGCCAAAAAAAAAATGATCATAAGAAACTGTGTACAACTGAAGCAACTGGTTTACCACTTTGCAGGTACATTGAAGAGGCCAAATACACTGCAACAAGAGAAAGGAGAAAGATGTCAGTTGAACCAACTTTACTGTTCATATTGTCCACCTGCTCATAAAAGTAGTTGTAGCATGATTTCATAATTCACGTAAATTTTTGTACATTTAACAGGACATGAAAAAGTATAAAGAGCATGATCCTAATATAGAATTTGGGGAGATGTATGGCAGACAAAGTTAAGGTCACAAATGAATAATGATGGTTGAATAGGAAACATTGAACCAACCTTCTAGTTTGGGCACCGCTCAAATTAGTTTCTATCACAATCATGGAAAACAATATTCCTGAGAAACCTATTGCACACTCATCCATGAGCTCTGGAAATGGATGAAATGGATTGTGGGATACGACCAGGGCTATGATCAGGTGGAGAATCGCATTGCTTATGGCCAACAGAATCATCATGTACAGCAAGCGAACAGATCCCATGATTCTCTCCAATTCCGACCCCAAAGGCACCAGTGCCAACATGTTGAAAAAAACATGAAGCAGCGAGCCATGAAATACAATGGCAGTAAAGATCCTGTAAACTGAAAAGAGATTAAGAAAATGACAACAAAGTGATGAGGATAAGATATCAATTGGATAAGTGTTTAGAAAGGAATCTACAATAAGAAAACTATGCAAGGTACAGATAAGTAAGAGGCATGATTTTCTGTCTAAAATGGATCCTAGTTTAAGAATTTTACTAGATTAAATAGTTTCAAAGGGTAACCAATTTAAGATTAACAGGTGAAACTTTGCAAATAGAACTTATATTTAAGAATTCTAGGGCCTACATCTAAATAATGACACTTAGCTACCAACATCCTGAATATACAGTTGATGTAACTACTAACTACACATATTGCAGAATACACTGTAAGAGAACACTTTTCCACAGTGTAACCCAATACTCTTGAAAAATATCCAACGTCTATTACTCTACACAATTAGCAGTTCAATGTAAAATCAAAGGTACCTTGAAATCTTGATATAACAGCAGATGGCAAGAAACAGATTTCGTAGAAGGAATCATATCCAACCAAGAGACATATCAAATAAATAGCCCCACAAACAACCACCACGGCAGAAGTAAGGAAAGGAATGCTTTCCCACCATTGACCAACCCTTGTAGACAAGCCCGCCTGCAGACCAATAGCCAAAGGTAAATATGCAGAAACTTAAACTGAATAGGGGGTAAGAGCTATAGTTTGGCAGGTGCCAACTGCAGAAGTAAACCTAAATATTATATGGTATATATGTAATAGTGACAGCACAATAAACCAATTTTCCGAGACGATAAATAATTAGATTACTAACATTAATGTTACGTAATATCCACCTTAGGATGCAGAAAATTTCCTTACGGGACTTATGGAAAGTGGAAGGTACGCATTAAAATTCAAGTCCAAGGAGCCCCTGCCAAGAAAGGATACATTTTCTCTCTGTTTGAACTGGAAAAGGGAGGGGGTTGAAACAAGGGATTTGTTAGAAGTTGGAAAATCATCCAACAGTTTACCTTAATATTGAAGAGATTTATTACTGACCCACGAGTAATGAGAAGGCTGAAACAATATGAGGGAGTGAATGTCGAAGAATATACAAGCTCAGGAGGGAGAGGAGGATGCAGGAAATGAAGAAGGAGAAATTGGCAGAGGCCACAGTAACGAACTCAGTATAGGAACTACCAAACACACACATCTTGAAGCCAGCACTACAACGTCTTCAATTGAGTATAGGGTAGAACTGGAACTATGTTGAACTTAATGGATAGAAATTGATTCCAATGATCTAGAAACAAAAGATAGCAAGTCCATATAGAGTTGCAGAAACTGCAATAAAACTTCAAATCATCACGAAATTCTGGAAACATAAAGGCAGGAAGACACAAAAGTAGAGTCCCCAGTTAGGTTACCCAATTTGTTACTAGCTATTACTTCATTTCTTAAAACTGGCTTTTCAAAGTGGATTAATTCACAGTGATTATCCTACAGAATACCCAACGAGCCATCTCAAGAGTATGAGCATAACAAATAATATACACTTTCATCACAGAAAAAGAAGATAACTATGGACACTCCGCAGAGCGAAATTGGATACTTCGCGAATGGCTGAATTCCACATTTGAGGTGATCTTAAAGCTAAACCTTAAACTATGTTCTAACAGGAGCGAGTCATAAACAGGATAAGGAGATACATTGAATTCCTTTATCTGCATCTGTAGATTGCTCCCAAGATACAATCAAGACCAGAGCACTAAACTTATGCGAAACTATACCCTTTTGCATACATAATACTGGGATCTATGGATTCTTCACCCTCCAGGCTCCAATGCCTTTAGATCTCATGGATAAATCCTAACTTAACAGTGATCCTCCTAGTGTAACATCATCCTATACTTCAACCAAACAACAGGTAAGGAAAAAAAGAGAGAGTAACACGGTTTACCAAATTCAAGTCCAGATCAACAATTTCTCTTCCGACTTCTAAACAAGTAGCCAAACAACTTCCCAAACTCGTCCTGCTACTAGTCCAGAGGAATACGTCACAAAATTTCCAGATAACGAATGAAACGAGAGCAGATGGAGGGAGAATCTTCTGCACAAGGATACTAATTCGAGTAAAACGAAAACAAGTCGAGGATTCAATGAACTCGCTCGGTAATAGGGATCAAAGGTTAGTGATAGTCTTTGCTTTAGAATTACCAAGAAAGAACAGCTCCCGGCGAGATTCTAAATACACATTTCCTTCGGCTGGCAACACTTCCTCAGCAACCAAACAACCGAAAGGGGAAAAAATTGAAGGAGAGGCCAAAAATGTCCAAGCAAACTTGGTGATTCAACTAGAGAGAACAGAAAACCCTAGCAGAGGAGCATGGAATTGAAGCCGAAAAAGGAAGGAGAGAAGGGAAGAGCTGAGAAGAGAGATCGAGAAGCTTTACCTCAGTGACAACGTTGGGTCTCATTTCCTCCTGTGTAGCGTGAAGTTCAAAACTCTACGGTGACTTCGTCTGAAAAAACTACCACCGACCGGTAGGAAACCAAGTATTCGTTGTTTATATATAGTTGAATCGGGTTGGGTTTTGGACCCGAGTCGGGATCCGGTGAAATTCATTTCCCATTGGGCCTAGTCTAGGAGGTCATTCAACTACATGGCCCAAGTGTCTGAATAAGTTTTTTAGGGCCAGATTGGATGGACCAAGGAAATCTACTAACACTAGTGTTAATATTTAATTTAATTATGTACCAAAAAAATTTAATTTGTTAACTAGAGCCAGAAGTTGGAATTCCATCAAATCGATGTATTTAATCAATTTGTATATTGTAATTTGATGCACTGATTAAATGTATGAGTTTGGAAAGTATCTTGTTTGAAAGTTTAGATGGTGTTTTTGTTATAAAGAAAAGTTGGGTGGGTAGACAAGCCATTTGTTAACAATCCTCACATTTTGGTAGAGATTGAGAATCACTTATTTTAAGTGATTGTAGTCTGTGGATGGGCCCATAAAAAGGTAATACATGTATATCCAATCTCAAATTTAACCAAAACAACGACTTAATCTTGACATTATATGTATTGGCTAGATATATTATTTGAAATTTCAACCTCTAAACGACTCTAAGTCTATATATTAATATTATAAACATTATATTTTGATGACTTTTATTTTTTAGGGTTTGACCACAATTCATGTTGATGTTTATATGTAGGGGCACGCTTGTCGTATTTAAAAATTATAGGGGCAACATGCGCGTGATTTGCTCATTGGTTATGTGTCCCATGCTAAACTAAGTACATGAGGTAGACAAGAAAGTACATATCAGACACGATAAACCACATCACAAATAACATAAAGTAGACAAGAAAAATTATAAAGCATACCAGAACCTAATCACACCACTAAATTCATAATGCATACCAAAAAACTCATAAAACCGACTACAAGTTTCTGAAACAGACAAACAACCTCATAAAAGTCTACCACAAGTTTCCTGAAGTATACCAGAAAACTCATAAAGCACACACAAGTTCCATAAAGCATACCATAAATCTCATAAAGCCGACCACAAGTTCCGGAAACAGATTAGAAACCTCATAAAGCCGACAACAAGTTCGTTGAAGCATACCAAAAATCTCATAAAATCCGATCATAGGTTCCTTAGAGCAGACTATAAAACTCATCAAACCGACCAAAAGTTCCCTAAAACATATTAGAAACCTCGTAAAGTCGATTACAAGTTCCCTAAACAAGATCTGAAATCTCATAGCAGATCTTATGGCCCACATTAATTCAAAAAAAAAAAAAAAGAGGGGGGCTAGTAATTCGGCCACCCCTTGGTTTTTTTTTGCTATCAACATGACACAAATCTAGAGGAGAGAGAATGCACTTTTCATAATCCCTTAATTTTCTTAATGGGATCCTAAAGAATCCGTTTTCAACTCGGAGTTTAATAACATTCTAATTGAAAGAACACATTTATTATGATCTACACATTGATATTGATTTTGCTACATTTTGAGAAAAGAAAAATGAACTCTTCAAAATACGTAACGGTTATAATATTATCACTGTCATATCAATCATATCAACTGATATGATCTTGATATCGACTAATATGATATTGATATGAATGGTATAGGACTAATACGATATTTATATGAATTACATGAACTTGATATGAATGACATAGAACTTATATAAAAAAAAAATATGAACTAATATTATATTGATATGATATGATATGATATGAATGACATGGAACTGATACGATCTTAATATGAATGACACGAACTTGATATGAACTAATATGATATGACCTTAAAAATATTTTGTACAAAAAATCAAAATGAATATTATCTTGTAAAGTACAAAAATATGATTTTTTACACAATTTTTTTATTAAAAATTCAACGTAAAACAAATGTGCTAAATATGGTCCATTAAATTTTCGTCGGTGATTTGAAAAAAGTCTTAACAACAGCTTCGGAATCTGTGCGGATCAGCCCCAAAATCCGGGCAACCAGGCAGTAAAATTCGGTTCGTCTCTCCCTCTCTTTGCCCCTTACACTATTGGGTCTTCTCACCCAATAGTCCATTGAGTCACGAAGTTGTATCAAATCAAATTACCAACCAAGAAAACGCTCCAAACCCCAAAACCTCCTATAATTTATATCTCATTCCCTTGTTGCTTTCTGTTGTAGTGGAAATTTGCTTTCGTATCTATTGATCTCCCAGAATATTTGCACGATTCAGATGTTTTATTCGCCCGGTTTCAGGTATTTTTCTATCATAAGTTTCAGTTTTGCTTCGAGTATGTTCTTTTTGCTGCATTCGAATATAATCATTGTGTCCTTGTTGTTACCCAGAGGAGAGATGTTTATGGTGCTTGGGACCTTGGACTAGAGTCTAGAGCACCCGGATACCACTCCAAAGAGGCCTCATTAGGCTGATCATTAGGTTATTGCAGAAGGTTTCCCCCAAGGAAAGATTACGTCTTCATAAAAGATAGTGTCTTCCATTGTTGCTTCCACTTGGATTTCTACTTTTGCAATCTTCGCCTTTTGTCGCTTTACTTGAATTTGAGGTTGACGTAGTCAAAGCCTCACGTTTCTCGTGCATGCATGGTTTGTTTAATTAGATAATATTTGTTATCGAATTTTTTATTAAAACTCGAGTTATTTAGACCAACAAGTTCTTAATATAATACTATATATTAGGAAGGTGTTATTTGTAGTCCTAAAAAAAAATCTTATTTATAGCTATAAAATAAAATAAAAACATGGTAACATGTTGACAAATCAATATTACATGTGTTAGGTAAACTATTGTCATGCTCAATTTGTATTTCATTTCATTAGTATGAGAGGATTTGAAAATATGTTAATTGACATGTGTTAGGTAAACTATTGTCATGCATATGTGAAAATTTGTGTTCTTTAAGAAAATATGAAACATGTTTGATATTGTATCTGAGAGCGCTCATAACCCGAAATCGAATGGGTTGGGTCAATATGTGACCCAAAATCAGCCAACCCAACATGACCCGATCTGTAACCGGAGGCCTCAACCCGAAATTACCCAACCCTACCCGATTGCCAGGTCTACAAATTGCATAAATATTTATGAAACAATCACGAAAGCAATACTAATACAAGAAATAAATAATGTTTGATTATCCTTACACTCCAAACTTGTCTTTTAAATTCTTATGATTATTTTTTAAAATCTCATCAATTTATGAGTGATTTTATCATTTTGAGAGTGAAATATGAAATAAAACGGGTCTAACGAGTTTTCCCGCCAACACACCCAACCCCAAAATACTACGGGTTAAACTTTCTAATGTTAGAATCATGTTAGAATGATGACTAGTAATTGTTGGTATGCTCAATATTTTTATTACAATTGTATATGTTATTAGAAACGGTAAATTAAATAATTTTGTTGCATTGGTGAATAGTTGTTGAACATTTAATTAGTACGTGTTTCCACTATAAATACTTTGTTATTAGGCTTGAGTTCAGGTCCTTAAGGCCTTTTTTAAAGGAGGAATTTAAAGCGTTGTGATAGGTTGATTCAATTTTAGGTAGTTAAGGAGGAGTTATTAGTTAATTAGCTGTTAAGGGTATTTAGGAATTGTAAATAAATTAAAAATGTAACCCTAACCGTCTATAAACCCTTTTTTCCCCATGATCTGCAGCCGAACCGTTTCTATTGTCGTCAAACAAACGTTCTCCGTCCTCCTTGTCCGCTGCAGTCGCCGGCCGTTCCAAGCTGCCGTTTCAATTATTAATAATATTATTGAAAATATTAACTTGTACAACGACATCACCGGTACATATCAATTTTTTTTCATCTCTTATCAACATTTCTATTTACAACTATTAACATAAAAAAAATATCAATGAGAAGCAATGCCAACGAGAACAATCAACCTTTCAACAATATATACAACCCAAACAACATAAAAAAGCTTTCACAGCAAACTAAAAAGGAACTGCACGTTCCATGTTTGCGCCGAATGGTCAACCAAAAGACGTCGTTCATGGCCGGAGTATTGGCGCGGCCAGAATAAAGGATTTGTCGGGAAACTGGATGGCAGTGGACCACAAAAACAGCTGGGGTGTCGGAGGAATTGACAGCGGTGGCGGCGGAGAGGACAACCGGACTACGGACGAGGGAGTCACCTTCACCTTCTACACATATATTTTCTACGGTAATCTCCTCTTCACGTAAGTCATTGTTCTTGGGAATATCTTCACCTTCCAAGCTGACATCACAAGGTACTTCATTCATATCTGCAACGTTGAATAAATAAAAAAACTATTCCTTTTAATTATTAACAACTATCCATGTCATTACTAATCTTCTCTTCTTCGATTATTAACCTAAAGCGACAATGAAATTTTACATGCAAAGGTTATGATTAACTAAAACACTTTAATTATTAACAACTAACGCGTGAATTATTTATCATCCCTCTCCGAGTACTGACCTCTACTTATTAAAACATTCAATTATTAACAAAAAATTCCGTCTTTATTAATACTCTCTTTTTAAATTAATATTCTAAAATGACATTGAAGGTTTACATGCAAAGTTCATTATTAACTCGCACACTTTAATTATTAACAACCATCCACGTCATTACTAATCTTTCCTTCTTCGATTATTAACCTAAAACGACAATGAAATTCTACATGCAAAGTTTATTATTAACTTAAACACTTTAAGTATTAACATCTAACTCAGAAATTATTAATCATCTCTCTACGAGTAATGAACTTTTCTTATTAACACCTTCAATTATTAATAAAAAATTCGATCCTTATTACTCATGACTTTTTTAATTAATAATCTGAAACGACATTGAAGGTTTACATGCAAAGTTCATTATTAACTTAAACACCTTAATTATTATAACCAAGGCAAAGATTATTAATTAACCCGACCGAGTTATTAATTTAAATTGTTAACAACTGTTGCCTGTTTTATTAAACAACCCTTCCCGAGCTATTACAA